TGTTCCACTACTTCTTCGGTATTAATCTCGTGACAATGTGCGGGTTCATCCATTCGCTCGATGGTGATTTGGGGAGCCTCGTTATCCCAGTTGAATTTAAACATGGAGGACATGGTGGCTAGAGCATCTGCCAGCTGATTCTCTTCTCGCGGAAAGTGCTCGAAGGTAATTTGCTCGAAGTGAGGCAACAATGTCAGAACATGTTCTTTGTATGGAATAAGATTAGGATGCTTGGTATCCCAATCTCCTTTGATCTGGCTGATGACCAAAGCCGAGTCCCCGAACACGATCAAAGATTTGATCCCCAAGTCTATAGCAGCCTTGAGACCAAAGATGCAGGCTTCATACTCAGCCATATTATTTGTGCAACTGAAGCAAAGTCGGGCCATGAAAGGAGTGTGGCATCCTTCCGGAGAAATGAGTACTACGCTAATTCCGTTTCCAAGTGCATTTGAAGCACCATCAAAGTACAGGGTCCATCGGGATCCCTTTTCGGGTCCGTCATACGGTCCGTCACCTTTAATGTTGTCCAAATTCATGATGTCCTCGTCTGGGAAATCAAATCTCATGGGTTGATAGTCTTCGATAGCCTGATGAGCCAGATGGTCAGCTAATACACTCCCTTTTATAGCTTTTTGGGTGGTGTACTGGATGTCATACTCGGTCAAGATCATTTGCCATCTGGCTATCCTTCCAGATAAAGCGGGCTTTTCGAAGATATATTTGATAGGGTCCATTTTGGATATCAACAAGGTAGTATGAGTCAACATATACTGTCTTAGTCGGCGAGCAGCCCATACCAAAGCGCAGCAAGTTTTCTCGAGCAGTGAGTAGCGAGTCTCACAGTCGGTAAACTTTTTGCTAAGGTAATAAATAGCATGCTCTTTTCGACCAGACTCGTCATGCTGGCCCAAAACACACCCCATTGAGTTATCCAAAACGGTCAAATACATGATCAATGGTTTTCCTTCGACGGGTGGCATCAGAATAGGAGGTTCTAGCAAATACTCCTTGATTCTATCAAAAGCAGCTTGGCAGTCATCGTTCCATTCGACTACCTGATCTTTCTTCAAGAGTTTGAAAATTGGCTCACAGGTAGAAGTCAGATGCGAAATGAATCTGGCAATATAGTTTATGCGCCCCAAGAAACCTCTAACTTCCTTTTCAGTACGGGGAGCAGGCATCTCTTGTATTGCTTTTACTTTTGCCGGATCGACTTCAATGCCTTTGTTGCTTACAATGAATCCCAGGAGTTTACCAGACCTAACTCCAAAAGTGCATTTACTCGGATTCAGCCTGAGCTTGTATTCTTTCAATCTGGCAAACAGCTTTTCCAAATGTTCAAGGTGCTCTTCCTCTGTTTGTGACCGAGCTATCATATCGTCTACGTAAACTTCAATCTCATGATGTATCATGTTATGAAATAAAGCTACCATGGCGCGTTGATAAGTTGCCCCTGCGTTCTTCAATCCGAACGGCATCACCTTATAACAGAAAGTTCCCCATTGTGTGACAAAAGTTGTTTTCTCCATATCCTCGGGGGCCATTTTGATTTGATTGTAGCCCGAGAATCCGTCCATGAAGGAAAACACTTTATGCTGAGCTGTATTGTCGATCAAGATGTCAATATGAGGTAGCGGGAAATCATCCTTAGGGCTGGCCCTATTCAAATCCCGGTAGTCCACACACATTCTGACTTTGCCATCCTTCTTAGGCACTGGCACAATGTTAGCGACCCATTGAGGATAGGACGTAACAGCCAGGAAGCCAGCATTGAACTGCTTCATTACCTCTGCTTTGATTTTTTCGGACATGTCAGGCCTCATTCGGAGAACTTTTTGCTTGATCGGTGGACAGTCTCCTCTTGTGGGGAGACGGTGAACCACGATGTCTGTGTCTAGACCTGGCATGTCTTCATAGGACCAAGCGAAGATTTCAACATACTCATTCAGTAACTGTACCAAGCGTTCCTTGACTTCTGGTTCCAGGTTGGCACCCACTTGCACCTCCCTCCGATTCTCCTCGGTTCCCAAGTTAATAGTTTCTAACGGCTCTTCGTGCGGTAAGATGGCCCTTTCCTCTTGTTGCAAAAGTCTGGCTAGTTCCCCGGGTACTTCACAACCTTCGTCATCCTCATACTCGGCTAGATTGACCAGGTCTTCAGAGTTATTGAAAGATACAGCAGAATAGTCACCCATGGAATCCGGAGTGGATGGGTACCTGCATTGGTGAGTGTGGGTGTGTGTAAGGGATAGCCATCCTTAAACAAAAATGCAAAAGGAAAGAAAATGAACACAAGCAGTTTATCAAATGAAAAACGTCCAATGAATCATTAAACATGGCATATGAATATGAAAAATAGTCAAAACCCTTACAAGTGGACCTACATGCCCCGGGCAAGGCAGGAGGTGAAAAGATAGTGTACGGACTGTTTGAAAGTAAAATATTACAGACCAAATAGGAAATGTTTAATAGATAAATTACTGATGAATAAAGGTGATGGGGACAAAGTCTTTAGCCTCCCAATTGCTCAACCCTCCTCTGACAGTTGGATGAATCCATTCTTCAAAGTTGCTTTCTTTGTCTTCATTTTCCAGGGCGTTGATTTGGTAAGGAGAAATTTTGATCGGCGCTCTCTCAATCTTTGACTGACGCATGGCCTTCTGGCCAGCAGCGGTGAAACCTAATCCAAACTTATCAGCCTTATGCGGAAGATCGGGTAACTGCCCCCACGCTGAATTCTTCCCTTCCTTAACTGCAGCCCTTGCATCCTCCAGAGATGCCATCCTGGCCATCTGTCTGGGTGTCTCAGCTGCCAACTTCGCCACTGCTATCTCAGGAAGCACTTCTTCGAAATGTTGAAACGGTGTCTCAATGAACTCCCCTTCAACCTCCACATATCGGAAAGAATTTAAATGGCTAATCATGTACTCTTCTTCGCCGTGGACAGTAATGATCTTTCCCTTTACAGGATATTTCAACATCTGGTGTAAGGAGGAGGTGACTGCCCCAGCATGGTGTATCCAAGGTCTACCCAGCAGGCAGGAGTATGATGGACGGATGTCCATTACATAGAAAGTGGATTTAAACACCTCAGTACCTATCTTGACAGGAATTTCAACTTCTCCATGGACCATTCTTTTCGACCCATCGAAAGCTCTGACGACAATATCACTCGGCTTCAATTCCAACCCTTCGCAATCTAGCCGGTCTAAGGCCTTCTTAGGCAAAATGTGATCGGTGGATCTGGAACTGACTGTTTTAAAGCTGGTTCGCGAAATGTCGCGGTAAGCAAGAGTCGCCACCGTCTTTTATTTTCTCCAATAGGAAAGGACAAAAGCACAGAAAAATTCCTTTTAAGAGATTGCTCTCGGTTCGGGAGGTAGGTTATAGAAAGGGAAGGTGTTAGCACCCTTTCTATCCATGGTTATCCATGGGCTCTTAGGTACTTGCTCAATGTGTTTTCAAAATTGTTTGTTTGCTTTTCAATGTGGGTTTCAAAAATATTCTTTGAAAAGTTTCAGTTCAACTCGTACGTCAGAGTGTTTGAAAAGTTTGTTTTGAAAGTTTTTGAAAGTGTGTTGGTGTGAAAAGAGTTTTTGTTTTGTTTGAAATTAGAGCAAGTACCTACGAGAACCTACCTACCCTAAGGAATTCGTCTGTGTAAGAGTCCTTTAAAGTAGTGCCATCCCACCATTGAGAGGTAGGTAGCACCACCGTTGGAGGTATTCGGGTCAATTCGAGTTTTAGGGACGTGGTGGTCACCGGAGCAATGGGAAAACACCTTAGAAGCTACCCTCATGCCAGGTTCCCGGACCATGAGGACTTACTAAGACGTTTTCTACTCGACGACCACCTTTCGAAAGGCAACAGTGAGGCGTACCCTAGGGGTGGTGTGTGCGAATTGTGTGTCATTTTCAGTTCATTATTTGTCTTGTCATGCATTGGTGATCTAACGATTCAATTTTATTTTTCGGGCATTCATTCTTTCATGCATATTTATTAACAGTTATATTTGCGAGAAAATAAATCTAACTATTACAACGGGCGCGGGTCCACATCGCCAAAAAAACCGAACCCGATTTGACTGAAAATAAAATAAAGCGAATAAAAAGTCCAAGAGTTTTTAATTACATGGCTTTGGGGCATATACAGAGGTATTTACACAAATGCGCGAAATAAAGACTAAACAAAATTAGGGCATTGGACCCTTTAACAGATAACTAAAATAATCAAGGAAATTAAAAATTAAAAATAATGTTTTTGTGTTTTTTAGGTTTAAAAGAAAAAAGAGAAAAGTTAATTAAAATTAAAATCCTAGTTCTATCATTTTTTAAGTTTATTATGAAAAAGATTTAATTTTCTAACCTAATTAAATTCTAAACTAATTATGTACAATTTTGATTTATAGAAAATAAATAATAAATATTAGCATTGTGAGAAAAAGGTTAAAGAATTAAAAAAGGATATGAGAAATTAATAATTACCCTAATTTTATATTTTTTGGATTTTTTATTATGAAAAAAGAATTAAAATGAATATTAAAACCTAATTAAACTAAATGAGTCACATTTTAATTTATTAAAAAAAGAATCAAAATTAATTATATTGTTTTTTGTCTTTTCTGTATTTTTTATGGTATTTTGTTTTTATTTCTAAATCCCTAATTTAGTATTAATAACTAACTAAACAATTCATAAACAAATATACAATGATACTAAATTAAATTGAACCAAAATTAGTCAGTAAACCTAAATAAAATAAAACATGGCGTGAATAAGAGAGCATCTACCTAAGCCTAAAATTGAAACGTTAAGCAAAACCATAATTTATAATATTAAATCAATATACATAAAAGATAAAATTAGGAAAAAGAAAGAAACCTGTTTGGAGAAAAGCACCGTCCTAATGCCTCCATCAGTAATGAATTTCTCAATTTTGTCTTTCCAAAATATCATTCGACTAACCGTGATGGACGGGATCGGCGATGTTGACAAGTAATGACGACGATCTGGACGGAGGGCTGGCCGACTGGATCTGAGCGGAGGGTCGTGTCGGGGTCGCGGCAGAGCAGTGGGTTGCAAGCACGACGTGGAGATGGAGCTGTCGGATGCGGTAGCGGACGGCTGACCGCGAGATTCGTCGGCGCGGGTTGCGTGGAGGGAGCTTCGTCGGGCTTCATTGGATTCGCGTTCGTGGAGGACTGGGGCGAGCAGTTAACTCGATTCGGTGTGGTTGTTTTGGTTGAATTTTTGTTGTTTTCTAAATCTCCTTCTGCAAAACAAAAATAACAAGGTTTCCACATTTTTTGTATTGTTTATGATATGGTATGTTAGTTTTTATTTCTAAAATGGTCAAAGAGAACTCAAGATTGAATATGGTGTTGTTATAGTTTAAGACATTGAAAAACATAGATGATGGATTTATGTGTATGTTTGTGGATATTCTATGAGTTTGAGAGTTGTGATGCTCTTGTGGAATTGGCTTCTGATGTGTGTTGTTCTAACGTCGAGACTCGTTGGCCGGCAACAATAATGATGGCAAAAGGTAGGATGGCGCAATGATGGTGAAATAATATTTACAGGTTCTATTTTTCATGAAAGAAAAGGTGTTTTGGTTTGGATGATATGGTTTTATCTACGGAGGAAGGAGGTGAACAGGGTCTATAGGGAGGTGAAGGATGAAGATGGCGGTCTGAAGAGGAGATTTACGGTGGAAAGTTGATGATGAAAACTGGATGGAGGTGAATGTTGGTGTATTCTTTATTGGAGAACATACTGTACATGTGAAGGAAGGGTCAAAAAGTGGTTTGACTAAAGAATCCTTATGGAATTGAATAGGCATGCTAACTTCCCTTAATCCATGCTTGAGAAAGAATTGGCATTAGGGTTTGTTCATTAACCATTTTTTCCTAAATTCTAGCCAAAACCTAGACTTAGTATGAAAATGAACCTTGGCCTGATTTTAGAGTTGATTCATGATGTATAGAACTTGTCCAAATTCATTTGACACCATTACATTGACTTTTAAATTTTATTTGAATTTTTAATGAATTAAAATGAATTAAATCATCAAAAATTAAATAAAAATGAAAAAGTCAACATTTGGTCTTGAAATCAACCATGGGCCACGTGTGTGGCATGACAAGGATGGACAAAGTGAGAAAAATGGGGCCCTTTTGTCAAAATTGGATTTTCAATGATAATTGACTTTTGCCATTTCACAAAATTTCCCCAACTTCTACAAGGCATAACTTGCTCAATTTTTAAGCTTTTCACATGTTCTTGGACATTTTGGAAAGGTCTTTGAGTCCTTTAACCAATGTCTTTGGTCCCATGTCATTTTGATTTACCAATCTCAAGTTATGGTCTTTGACTTAAAGTCCCTTTTTGTTGACTTTTGAAAATGACCTGTAATGTTGAGATTGATAACCTTTTGTGAGAGCATTTCTTGGACTTGAAGTATGAAGATGAGTTGTAGGAAATGTCTTTCTCTTCAAAATGAGCTTTGGATGGAATTTTTCTGACAATCCATGTGAAAGTTATGCCCTGGTCAATTTCAGTTGACTTTTTCAGCTGTCCAAATATAGTAACTTTTGCATCTTTGATGATTTCTGAGCCAAATTTTGAAAATCATGATCAAGCATTGATCAAATGATGTTTGTGGCTTCAAAATGATATGTTGACCAAAAATTTGAACTTTTGACTGTCAAATGACCATTTTGCCCCTACAGTTGACTGTAGTGCAATTTAGGGTTTTGACTGTGCAATCTTGAACTGAATGCCTTGAAACTTGACATGAGGATGCTTGACCATGTTTGTAAGCATGTGAGACTCGATTGGGCCTTTGAAAACTTCCTTTTCTTGATCAAACTCAAAAACCCTAATTTGGACTGGATGGGGGACTGTTGCACTGCACAACCCTTGGGGAATTTTTCTAGCTTGGCTTGACAATTTCTTGAGGAATATGGGAGAGCAAATTTTGGGGTATAACAGTTGCCCCTGTTCAATCTTCTTAGACCTGAGGATGCAGATTGGCTGACGTGCCTTTCGTAATCCGATGGTAAAAGAAGATTGGACACTAGAGTGCCCGGAAATTTGCGCTCACATGTTAGCAATGAGGGTGGAATGGGCTTATAGATGCCATTTGGAGATTGCTGGATTGCGTAAGAGATTCCTTGGCGAGAACCTGCATACCTGCAAAACAGAAAAATGAGTACCTGACACGTTGCAGGAGCTGAGGTTTAGATGTGTCCTGACTGGGTACAGGAGCTGAGTCTGGAGCTTCAAACAGCAATGAAAGAACCAGGGATGATTACTTCCTTAGCATGAATGGTAAGAGAGCCTTGGGCGACTTTAACTTCAACAACGCTCGTTGAGAAAAATCTGGGGTGTCTTCTACTGGGGATAAGAATCAGGGAGATCTTAAGGTCGATCTGACTGAACCAGAGGAGGCCTTTGACTGGATAAGTCTAGGTCTTGAAATGTCTTCCACTGGATAAGCAATCAGGAAAATCTTGGGACGATTTAACTGAACCAGAGGAGGCCTTTGACTGGATAAGCAATCAGGAAAATCTTGGGACGATTTAACTGAACCGGTCTAGGTCTTGAAATGTCTTCCACTGGATAAGCAATCAGGAAAATCTTGGGACGATTTAACTGAACCAGAAGAGGCCTTTGACGGGATAAGCAATCAGGAAAATCTTGGGACGATTTAACTGAACCGGTCTAGGTCTTGAAATGTCTTCCACTGGATAAGCAATCAGGAAAATCTTGGGACGATTTAACTGAACCAGAGGAGGCCTTTGACTGAACCAGTCTAGGTCTTGAAATGTCTTCCACTGGATAAGCAATCAGGAAAATCTTGGGACGATTTAACTGAACCAGAGGAGGCCTTTGACTGAACCAGTCTAGGTCTTGAAATGTCTTCAATGGGATAAGCAATCAGGAAAATCTTGGGACGATTTAACTGAACCAGAGAAGGCCTTTGACTGAATCAGTCTAGGTCTTGAAATGTCTTCCACTGGATAAGCAATCAGGAAAATCTTGGGACGATTTAACTGAACCAGAGGAGGCCTTTGACTGGATCAGTCTAGGTCTTGAAATGTCTTCAATGGGATAAGCAATCAGGAAAATCTTGGGACGATTTAACTGAACCAGAGAAGGCCTTTGACTGAATCAGTCTAGGTCTTGAAATGTCTTCCACTGGATAAGCAATCAGGAAAATCTTGGGACGATTTAACTGAACCAGAGGAGGCCTTTGACTGGATAAGTCTAGGTCTTGAAATGTCTTCCACTGGACAAGCAATCAGGAAAATCTTGGGACGATTTAACTGAACCAGAGGAGGCCTTTGACTGGATAAGTCTAGGTCTTGAAATGTCTTCAATGGGATAAGCATCAGGGAGATCTTAAGATTGATCTGACTGAACCAGAGAAGGCCTTTGACTGAACCAGTCTAGGTCTTGAAATATAGCTTGAGAACTTAACTGGGTCTTCCCTGAAAGGTAAAAGTCAGTCATATGCAATGCATGATATGGATCAAGCAATGATGTTCTCAACATAAATGAGATTTGTACGATGCAGTGCGTTATGCATGCTATAATGATGTATGTGATGTTTATGTATGTTTTCGTCTAGGAAAGTAAATCCTTGACGGGTGCCGGGAAGTCGTATCCTGGGCTGATATTGAGGAATAAACTTGTACTTCCGCTGGGGATGATAGTTGCAAGAATACCGGTAGGAGAAGATGACTCCGTTGCGGAATAAACTTGGCAAGGACGATTCTGCGGGGAGAAAAGATACTCTGACGACCATACTGGGAAGCAATACTCTGTGGGAAGAGTGATGCCTTGCTGAATGTTGATAGTAACTCTATTGGGGATACCGTTGTTGTACTGGAAGTGTGAATTGACTTCGCTGGGGATAGGAAAGAACTATGTTGACGACGACCTTCCCTTGGCTTTTGGCTGAGGATAACCCAGTTATATCCGGTTAAGGAAATAACTCTTTGAATAAAGCCGTGCGACGCGTTCGTGCTCTGCGGGGATAAGCTTCCAGAATCTACTGGGGATAAGCTTATTGCTTGGGGAAATGAATTCCATCTTTCCTGGGGAACTTGGATGGGACCCTCCTGGGGAAATTTTGATAGTTTTGATATGCTGGGGAAGTGATTCCTTTGAATGTTGATATATGCTGCCGGGGAACAATCTTTAGACCAAGACTGCCGGGGATGCTTGTTAAGAACATATGCTGCTGGGGAATATTGGGATCTACTGGAGGATACCCCATTTCCTTGAGACTTGTTAACTTTGTTTGGGGAAGAATGCACTGACTTGCTGTCTCACTCTCTGGGGAATTAAGATACCTGGTAGTGTTCTTCAACAGGACCTACCCTGATACTTTGGAGGATAGAACAACCAGACTGCTCAGACCAACCTTTATTGCCCCTGTTTCTTGTGGGAGAAGATACCTGTGGCGGTGCTTGATGACTGCCGATTGACAAATCTTCTTCTTGGTAGGAAAGTGACATAGTCGTACGCTTTGATCCCTAACTTTGCCTGGACCGCCCTTTCGGGTTTTCAGTCCACCGGGATACCCATTTTTCCCAAGCCGCCTTTTCAGGTTTTCGACTTGCCGGGTGTATATATTTTTTCATATTCATCCCTTGTTTTTGCCCGAACCCTTTTGGTTCGCCGGGAAGCCCTTATTTTTGCCTAGGTGTGTCAACCTTGCGGGTCTTTGATTTTGCGTAGTATTTTTCGACCATGTCCGTGCTTTCAGAATGTAGAGAGTTGCCCCTGTTAGAATTGTTTTGTCATGCCACCAGAAAATCTTCGTTTGATTGTCCAATGCCCCCAGGTGACCTAGACGGAGATTTGCCCCAGGCTGGTGGTGTCGCCATATTGTCAGAAGGTGTCTGATCGTGCAAGATTCGTTGCTGGAATGCCCCAAGTGACTTAGACGGAGATTTGCCCCAGGCTGGTTGGTTGTCATGCCACCAGAAGATCTTCGTTTGATCGTCCAATGCCCCAAGTGACTTAGACGGAGATTTGCCCCAGGCTGGTTGGCCTTTTTGAGAGATTCTCCGAATCTTGACTTAACTGCCCCAGATGATGGATAATAGTCATGCCATGCCCCTTGATTAGAGGTACTTCTGTTCATTAGACATTCGTCATGCGAATTTCTATGTTGTTCAAACAAAAGTCATATGCAAACAAAGTTATGTTAAAAATGCAAAGCTTATGTCTGTCTTGAAGATTTTGAAAATGCATTCTTTTTCATAAAACAAGTG